CGAATTGTCTCAGTCGGGAAAAAGTGTCTGCAGAAAGCTTTAAATGTCCGATAAGCACTGTAATAATTAAAATTTAATTTATTTGATGACAAATTTGCAAATGTTCTACAAACTTTGAACTAACAACTACTACATTTATCAAAAATTAAAAGAAATTGATTTATTTAAAGTAAATCTATTACATAATTAGAATTTCGGTAATATTTTTCACTACTTACGTAACTTTTGTCGAAGTTGGATCAGTTAGAACATCGTAACGTAACTAGTCCATATCGTTTCCTTCTAAGAATGTGAGACGATTTAGATACTCCTAGACGTATCTGAAGCATCCACAAGGCCCAAAACTGGTACAAAACTAATTTCCATTACTAACTGCTGTAATCATAAACGTCGAAAAAATAAAATGGCATTATTATAATCATAAATACATCATGAAACCTTTTGTGCTAGGTGTAAATGATCAAAATACTCATTTCTCGCTCAGTACGATCATCTTATGTTATCCTATTTCTGATCAAATTAAACATTTAATCACATACAAACGCTTCTAAATTAATATTATTATTACGATAAAATAAAAAATTTCAATTACAAATTAACTAGACAGTAGATACAAGTAATTACCTTCAACTTTTGGCGGATTATCTTTTACAGTTACGATCAAAGTTGCGGCGTTTCCAGTAAAACTCCGTCCAGGACGTATGTACATCTGAATGTTTGAACTAAAATCGATACTCTCCTAAACCCCGAAAAACATTCCTCCTTCAACATTTCCATTTTATAAACCTGCCTCTACTTAAATTTGACATTTCAAAGGCCAATACCCTGTCGAACGCATCAAGTGCGTGCCGATAACCAGGAATGCTTACCCCATTTATTGGCAAACGTGTCTGAAGTTTGACGACGTAATGGGCTGTGCCACATTCGCTGCTACTTTCCGAAGCAAGACTGGATCATATTCAAGAAAGCGATAAATTGTAAAGTACTCTGAAATTTTCGACAGTTCGGCAGGAAATTTTCGCGTAGACGCGCGGTCGCAATAATTTATGGAAATGTGGAAGATAAGTGTAAAACATACTCGTTCCAAGTTTTGAAAAAGTGTCCAATTTTTATACGCGACGTTAAAAAATAAAAATGGGTGCGGTAACGGTTATGTTAGAAGACTGCAGGAAGGATTTCTTTGTGGGACGGAGACGGAGTTTGGTTCTATTCGCTTATTTATTATGATGTTATCGAAGAAAGCATCAAAATAATTTTCTCGATCACAGAAGTTTCGAAAAACTGGGTAGCGATATGTACAATTTGCTTCTTGGAATTATAATCGGATGCGACTTAACCAATTTTTTTAAATTATAATGTTGCGTTTACTTTTTCACTGATTTGGTTGATCCTCCAAAATGTTTCGCCTAAAACATTGTTATTGATATAAACTCTCCTAGACAGATATTGCTGAACTTTGCTAAACTTTATCTGAGATGAAATATGCAGAAAAAAGAAACAAATCAATAAATTTGGTTTATCCCAAGGAAGACAACACTATGAATAATTCATTTAATACTGTTCGTATAGGAGAGAATTGGGCACTATTGTAACATTTATGGAAAAAAAACTCTTCTTTAGAAAGTTTCACGAATATTTTCACTAATATTTGATGTGCACTTTTAGAGCATCATGTTAACGGGCCTTACTTTTTTATCGCAGAATATCTACTGAAGTGATTAATTTTACCACCGCCGTGACGTAGATTCGCGAAAAGTGAGGGAATGTTTATGAAGCACGTTCTAAAATGAAGAAAAAATCTCCTAATCTGCGCACACATCATTCTTATCACATAAAATTTAGCGAACTCGCATTTTACTTATCATAATTAGCGTTGGCACATCCACTATTCTCTGGGTACGCACTCGATCCAATGAAGGAAAGCTTGTCAAAAATCCTACGTCGTTAATACTTTTTTTTTAATTCAAAAAAATCCACCCTCGATAATTCCGTACAAAATTCTCTAACGAAACTCCTAGTAAACTGTGCGTTTCTCACGAACATAAACACCACAATGCGGCTGGGTACAATTACAAGCCGTCAATCCAATTTCTACAGTTTTAATTAAAGCTGAACTCTCTTCATAAATACGCCACCAAAAAATCTTCCGGTAAACGCAACTATTTAGTTTCGTTTCTGCAAACCAACTTGCCAATTGATAATAATTTAACATAAAAACTAAATGTTAGGGAAAAGGGCAACCTATTACGGTTTGAATGGGTTAGTTGCACGAAAAGGAACATCCCTTCATGGTCACTGCTCCAAATACCTTCCATCGGTTTTTCCTTACTGAACAACGAAATGACGTAGTAATAGGGTGGCAATAAATTCATTAAATGAAGAGCACCTTATTCCAAAATATTTTCGTGACGAGAGATCCGACTAAAATCGATATTTAGCAATCAATGGCGGAACTTTGTACGGCAGAGGCTCCACGATCGCAACTTCTACACAAATGTCACTATATGTCGCATTTTAAGCGTGAAAAACGAGCTTCTGTGATAAGGCGATTAAACTTCCACGATGGCCCCCAGCGTCCCAAGTAGCGTATTTTAATAATTAACCGAAAGGGTATATAACTCTCAAGAGAAATCGATTATTCAACGCCATGGGATTCTCCGTTACCTCTGTTACATTACGTTATAATCTCCGTTTTGGAGCAATTAATCTCTATCATGCAACTTGTTCCCCATTTAATCGTAATAGCTGTCTCGGTAAAACAACCGCCCTAGTCAATTATTTCAGACTTTTCTTTTTGATCCCTTGAAAAACCTCCCACGGAGGAATATCGAATGCGTCATCAATTTCAATTAAGTATAAGTGCGGATCTTCTCTTTACTGCTGCCTCTGGAGCAAGACATAGTAATTTTGAGTGTTTGCACACAGTCTTCCGGGATTATCTACAGTATTTAAACACGGACTTTACCGAAGAGGTAAACCGTGAACGGGTCGCCTTATTACTTATTCATACCACCAGCTCGGTGGTTTTGATTAAGTGCAAAGTTTGCTAAACGAGGGCCGTTTTATAAAAGCTTTCGGTGACCAAACAAGGACTATATTTAGATCCTTTCAAACTCAAAAATTACAATCTAATTAACGGAAAAATTTCTGAGGGTCTCCCACAGTGACCTCTCGCTGCCGTAGTTGCCCCTACAAAACTAAACGAAATGACGCGCAATAACTGTACACAACCAGTAATGCACCATTGGTGTTCCTACAACAATAAATCGCCCGTACTTTCGACAAATGGAATGAAGCTGTGAAGCCATTAAGAAATGATATCTGTACCGTACACCCAAATTTATAGATTACATCTTGGTTTAATTTTGCGGGTCATTGTTCCTTTTATACCCCGATAAATCACTGCCCGTTTCGACGATTTTGTTTTGGGCGGTTCCTAAAATGTGTGAGGATGTCGTAAAACGGGCCATTTATTATCAGCCGTCAATGTTTGCTACAAAGAAAACCCGCAACAGTAATATGGAACTACGGAGATATCCTAGTTATGCATGCAACCATGGTGCTGTACCCATCAGTTGAAACATCTGCATAGCGCAATTTTTTTCGTGGTAAATTTTTACAGCCAATAATATCGCTTCACGACTTAAGAGAAGTTTCCTTTCTAAGAAATGCCTTAAGGAAAGTTGTCAGTCACTTATTACTAGTGTGAATTTCAAAAGCAGATTAATTTTAAGACGAGCTGCTTAGAAATTTTGACGAACAAGCTGTAACCAAACACCGTACGTCTTGAAATAAAAAATGCACACTACACGTTGTCTATTTTTTGACGTCATGATAAATAGTCGAGAGATACACAACTACCTAGGTACCACTCAGATTGCGAATTGCTTTTTGGTTTCAAATTGTTCTTTTTGTTTTGCAACATTTTCTCGATTTGGCAGGTATTAATTATTATCTGCTCGAATTTCAAAAATTTGTCGCTAGAACCGAGTGCTATGATAACGCAACCTAAAGCATGTGAGCTCGTATCAGTTTTTCTCAACTCTGTAACGCGTTATAGTGTAACAAGAATCGGTAAAAAATGTTTTCTGGCTGCTATTAAAATCGAAACCAGCTGCCATGTCCCGGTTTTCACTAATAAATATTTACAGAACTGTGCTTTCTTTTAACAAAAACTCGCCTACCTGTCGTCGTGACGTCGTGGTGAGTAACGAATGTTTTCTTGAAAATTAACAGCTGGGCAACGTTACGCAATCACATTATTCGTACACTATACACCATTTTATGAAGAATGGGGTACGATGAAAATGACGTAAATCTAAAAGGCGCGACCGAAGCTCGGGACAAGTTATACATTTAAGAAACATGCAAATACAAATTCATGTACTTACAACAAATTACAAATTTATCATTCTATAAGCACACCTGTGAAGTAAAAAATTTGTTGCTAGAACTATAGTTACCTTAAAGCGAAAGGCTAGATACACTTACGGCAGTACAGGTCGAAAAAGTCTTCCACAATGTACCTCTACCATAATTACGATTTTTAAAAATGAAGACGTAGGGAATTATGTTTGCGTAGCGTATTTATATATTCAAACTAGGTAGAAATTCTGAACGGGGGAATTTTGATTCTCCTTGAAAGAATATATACAGCAGTATTCAAGTTTGTAAACAAATTCGAATAATCCTGTTAAACAATTGTAAATAAGGCCGTGTGCACTACCACTACCGATGTAACCCACAGGACAATCTTTATTATTCATCGTTTCCGAAACATTCGAAACATTTGAGAATCTACAGCTGTGGATCTAGCCGGGTGCTCCTTAACCCCTAAACAGTTAGTTTATTTATAACTCCACGTCCAATATTAAATTTCAGTTTTAAACTCGTGCTTTAATTGCATGCTAAATGGTTCTAACTTGACCGTTAAAATTTAATTTCGATAAAATCATTAAGTACTGTACAAACAACCGATTCGCACATGTTTTTTTTTACAGATGGAGGGGTTGGTGAGAGAGATGCAGGACACGGAGCACGGGGGCGTTCCAGTACGAAGCCAAAAATTATTCCTTACATCCATTCCCGCCGCTTTCATGGGTAAGCCCGTTTACGCAAAAAACTCAATCGAATTTCGATCAAACATTTAAATACGCAACCCCAAACAGATTGCTGTTATTACAGTGATCTGTGTGTTTGCGACTAAAGCGTTTTTTAATTAAGCCACGAAACGATCCTGTATATATACCTATATATTTTATTTATGCAGGGTACGACTTAATTGAATGGCTGATGGAGCGTCTCGGAATCGAAGAATCCGGTAAGAGATTATTATTAAGGGGATATTACGTGCGGACGAGGGATGAAAACTTATTGATTGGAGACTTGCAAGCGCGATTGCAGGGGATATTTTACATGGCGTTCCATATTTATAGTTACATTTTTTTTTATTTTAACGAAAAATGGTACCGGAATACCTATAGCTAGAACTTGAACTGAAACAACCGTAATAACTGTTTTTCTTTCGTCAAAACATTTTAAACTGAAATATGTAATTATTGTTATATTTGAGTGCGCTAATTCGCAAAATAGGCACTGTCGTTCAAGGGTCCTGTAAATTCATCCCCCAATGGCGGAGATCACATAGTGTCATATACTTCTTTGTTGTCATGTTCCTGTCGAGCTAGCAACAATAAATTCCTAGTAAAGATACCCATTAAGGATGGTGCTTTGTTTTTTTAAAACCGGTAATGACTGAATAGAATTATTGTTGGTAAATTTGTTGTCGCTTTTTTGGGCACCCATTTGTCTCAAAATTTTCGACGAACAGCTTCTCATACTCTCGATTTTACAGAGGCCCTCAACCTAGCCAATCAGCTATGTCAGTATGGCTACTTTTTTCCTGTAAGCGATTCAAAAAACTTGGTTGTGAAAGATGATAGTTCATTATATAGATTCCAAGTAAGTTCATAATTTTGTCTTTGCACAAAAATTAATTCTCGTTTCTTCAGTCTCCATATTATTGGCCTTGGCAAAACAGACCGCCGGATAATGTAGAATACGCCATTTATTTAGCTAAACGAACTTTAAGAAACAAACAAAGGCACGGTCTAGAGGATTACGAACTGGAAGCATTGAGTAACTTACGAAAGAACTTGGCCAACAAGTGGGATTTTATCACGATGCAAGCCGAGGAACAGGTTTGTGATCGAAACATGTTTCAATCGTTACATTAAAGTTCCTTTAAGGTGAAACTGTCAAAAGTCCTGAAAAAAGGTGATAAAATCATCAGCGATTCTCAAGAGAGGGCGTATTGGAGAGTTCATAGACCTCCACCTGGAATGGTTACTTCTCTGGAGCAATGTCCTGTTCCGACGCGTAGCTGGAACGGGTCCCGGACGCGTAAAAGGACCATAGAAGACTGCAGGAGAGACGTACGTTTGAATATGTTTACGTCTTTTCGACTTTTGTATTAATTAAATATTTTGCAGGTTGAACTGTTGAAGAACAGTTTGTCGAGGACTCGCGTCAAAGTATCTCAGGCTTTAGAGGGAATGGTCCAACATGTCGAAACTTATGCGGAATATGATCCTTTGATAACACCAACACAACCTTCCAACCCTTGGGTCAGCGAAGATACGACCTATTGGCAACTGAACAGTGCACTGTGAGTATAGTAATTACACAACACTTTGTAAGTCGTGTTGCTCTTTCTTGACAAGCTCCGATCCTCGTCAGATTGTTTTGTTCAGCAGCTTTGTTACACCTTGTGTTTTGTTTTCGAGTTACCTCAGAGACAAGGCAAATATTTGATTACAGCTGGGAAAGTTTAGCGGAGATATTTTGTGGGTTAATAATTACACAAGTTGCGCTCTTTAAACGGTGGCCCAAGTAAAGGGCAAAACAACAGTCAAGCATTTTACCATTTTCCATTTTCTTGTTTAAATTACCATATACATATCTACGTTCAACTATGTTAAATCTTCTAATTAGAAAAAATAATGGATGAGAGCAATAATAGTAACTATGTTTGTTGTTTGAGTCAATATCGCAGACGAGTTGTTTCGCGTAAAGTTGAGCTAACTTATCATGCGATCTTTTCTATCCCATACATTATTACAAAAACTTCGTGATCGCAAAATGTAGGCGAAACTAACGCATTTACGTGCACATTTCTCTACGAAGGCATCCAAAAATTATCGTCCAGCTTGCCTGAAAATTTAAACAGACAGGTACATAACATGCTACTATGGTTGTTTCGAACCGACGTGATGAGTCTCTAAAAATTCGACGTGTTAGAAGGGCGCCACTCCTGGTTTCCTTCTGGATACCGACACTTCTACTTCCGTTCTGTTCTTAGTCATTCGGTTTTTAATTCGATTCTTGACGTTGTCGTAAATCAATTTTCTCAGTACTTACTTCTTTAATATCGAATTAGTCTTCAAGTTCGAGCCGTTCGCCCCATCTCCCGCTTATTTAATTTAGCATCCTGCATTTACTTTCAAAAACGTATGATAATTTCCCAACAACTTTCTGATCTAATCTACGCCCTCTTTCCCTTTTAGTGTTGAAATTCCTACAGAAAAGCGTGTCAGACGCTGGGCCTTATCTATGGAGGAACTAGTTTCAGATCCGACAGGTTTGCAAGAGTTCACCAACTACCTCCGCAAAGAATACAGTCACGAGAACATCAGGTTCTGGATGGCGGTAAATGACTTGAGACGTTCAGCTCAGTCACAAATCCAAAGGAAGGTTAACGAAATTTTTGAGTAAGTTGTGTTGTGCTCGTGTCGGCTTTTGGATGATTAGCATTTTGCAGAGAATTTTTGGCCCCCGGTGCTCCTTGTGAAATAAATATTGACGGAAAGACAATGGAGAAGGTCCATCAAGAGATGAAAGCACCCAGCAGGTTCACTTTTGACGCCGCACAAGAACATGTATATACTTTGTTGCTGAAAAAAGATTGTTATCCTAGGTTTATTAGGTCGGAGTATTATAAAAATCTTCTGGCGACTGGAATACAACCTTCGCAGAAAAAACGGTGAGATTTTAAGAGAAATCGAGCGCGAATAATACGCTTGGAATCAGAACGCGGTTTTAATGTGCCGTAAACAAAAGTAGCACGTTCTTATCAATGACCGATCTGTTTATTGTTCCGAAACGAATAGTCCGTAATGTTCGCGCTCAACGTAGGATTGCGCCCTTCTTGGAAATTTGTGGTGCAATTAGCCCCTTTCTAATAAAACCCATCATCATCATATAAAACCTCACCCCTTTCAACGCGTCCGCGGGACTTCCGTGCGAAAGTTTAATCGTGACGTCTTTTATATTCCAGCTCCTAAAAACTAATTTATGAACATCCATTTCCTGCGACTCAAAATAATCATCGTGTTTGCTGCGTTCGTTTTCCCGAAAACCATTTCCACTGAAATCAGACCAAATAAACAACCTACCGATATTTATAAATCAGTCCAAATAAACCCCGAGCCATCCGTGTACGAATCCAGTATACAAAACGCCATGCATCTATCCGAAAGTTTGTTTTGCAGCTTCTTCGGGTTCGGCCAAACGAAAAAGAAAACGTCAACGAGCAGTGCACCTAACCAGCAGCTGCTCCAGCAACAGCCTTCGCAGGGAGCCACAGTCACGTGCGGCGCATTATCCAAACGCAGAGGCAGCGACCGAAGCCTGTCCGGCTCGGCGCACGAGCTAGCAGTTTCTGGTGTGAAAGACTCGAAGGTGCCGCATTCGCATTCGCAGAGCAACCTGAGCGACATTCCGTACAGGTAACCAAGACACTCTGAACTAACAAAATTATCATCTCAGCGGTGATCAGTGATCAGTGCCCAAGGCTGCACGGCGCATGGCTTTCATGGCGCTCAGTGTACCCACATGTGTTACTGTTAGGGCACACTATGTCGAAGCCGCTCTGGCGAACCCACATCCGGGACGAGCAACGGCTCGTTTTTGAGACACGTTGGGGATTTGCCGAGGAAGACTTCAGGCCGATCGTTTGTTTTTTAATTATTTTTCTTTGTCGCGTCTGTAGGAAGAAACGTATTCGATTGCAATTCGAGTATTTTTACTGCAATGTTTAATTGAATCACTAAGAATAAGATGGTGCACGTTTTCTTTTTTTTCTCTTTTTTGATAAAGTACCTATATACCTGACATTTTATGAACGACCGCGTTCGATGAAGATGACAAATCTCAGATCTCGGCCCAGTCGGCAAATTTCGAATATGTACGTCTCATGGGTGGGCCTAGTAGTGCTGCAATGTTAATTTAGATGTAGTTAGTGGACCTCATGCTTCACTTGCAGGGGCGATTTGGCGTGCCTTCCGAAAACCAGTCCAATAGCAGCACCGGTTACCAGTCCGTAAGTCCGCTCGTCGTATGCTAAAAACAGTATTCTATTAACTTATGGTTGTTATCATTGGATTTTGCTGTGTTGATGTAACATCGGTGTCGATCAATGTGGCTTCCCAAACTTGCTGCCTATAGCTTCCGAACAGAGCAACTCTATCAACTATTACACTTGTCTGGGCCTTACAACTCTTCTCTTTACATCCTTCACAAATTACTCTTCTCAGTTTCGAGCGGGCCGAAGGGCTTAGTCCGTCTCAAATGTGCCAACGTTTGTACGCAAAAATTTCCAAGGCACGTTTCAGTCTGACTGTCACTTCCGCTCGTTTCCTATGGATAGTTTCTAATGAGAAAGAAGGAGATAATTAGTTGCATCTGAAATGGTAACGGTACTCTTCTAGGGTAAAAGAACGAGTTTGTTGAGTGCGTCCAGTTCGATGTTGCATGTTGAACCAGAAAGGTAGATCAAATCGGGATTTTTCTGAATGTATCGTAGAACGACGGCGCTCGGCCGTCTGTCGGCCAGAAGCCCAGATTTGCACCCGTTTTATGTTCCTCGCTCGTGGTTGCTTAACCGAAAGTCTTTAATCTCAAGTAACTATTTACATATCCGCTCTCTTTTTTATTAAGTTGTAACGCAACATTCGGAACTACCCGATTTGATCCGCCCCCGTCAGTGTTGTCCCGATCGTCCCCTCACCATTAAGATTTAAGTGTTGCACCAGTATATTCTTGAGGCGATTGGTGGTATTCACGCGAGAACCGACCTCGATTTGTACATTTCTCGCTCCTTCTGACAGTTCGACGCACTTTTCTAACTGTACTTTTCAATCAGAGTGAAGAAACCCAGTATCGCCATCGTGGCCGGAGCATCCACGTCAGAAGAAGTGTGTCCTTGGGAGAGCGGTAATGAACCACGTTCTCGCAAGAACTCCGCTCAGCTCGATTCCGGAAGTTCCTCTTCCGATATAAGCGTGGCCGTGGCGGAGGTCTCCGAGAGGGTCCAGAGGGTTTGTACTTTGACACAGCAGCACACCGTCGACGGCAGCAGAAAGCTATCCACCTCCACCATGGACCCCCCTCGGAGAGCGTCCGTTTCCGTGCCAATTACTCATTCGACAACCACCGGAGACTCCTCCAAGCGGAAGGTGTCTTCTTTCGAAGACAATAGTTCCGCCGCTACAAGCACGTCGTCATCGGTGTTCGTAATTCCTAGTGACACAGACAATAAAGCAGAGGAATGCACTAGTACTAGTAAAACTGTTGTTAAGAACCACGGTCTAGCTAAGGCTTGTTCAGTGACAGGAGCGAATGCCCCTATTATCAGTGTCAGTTCGGTGGCTGATGATTTGCCGGTCGACAGTAAGGTAGAAGAGGAAGCTGAAGCGACTTGCAGCCAACAAGAACCGCTGGCGCCACTAGCTGAACCAGACAGCGAATCTCCGGCCAGCGAACTTCCTCCTTCTGAGCCCATCACGGAAGTCGAGGTCGACACGGAAGCCAAGAGTAACGATGTCTGTCCTTGGGAAGACGAGTAAGTTGTAGAGGTCTCACCCAAAGACGCGGTTTTCGTGAAGAGTAAGGCAAACACCCGAGACGTTAGTTAGCCATCATTTGAAAATTCGCGCAAGGACCCTTTACTACACAAAATTGACGCCGTCGAGTCGGCGAGATCTGTTATTATAGCACCCACCTTTTTATGCTTTTCTTTTATTGTTTCTTCGTTTCGATGTATTCAGTAAGTGATTAAATTTCAAAAATCGATCGATACCTTAATAATTTTGATTAACGTATCGACGATCTTCTCGTAATCGGGCTCTTCCAAAATACATAAGAAACATGTTCTTCTATTTACTTATTTCTGTATACGCGATAAACTCCCACGAAAAAACGATGGCGGCGTTAAAGCTAGTTCGTAGGAGATGACTGTTTGTTTATCCTGTCTGGTATCCAGAGTGTTTTCCTTATAATATCCACGAGAATCGCCTTTCCAGCAACCCCGTTCAAGCCAAGACCTGTTCTATCACTGCATCAGCACAACGCACTTTAAATCCACCTTGAATAGAATAGGGGGTAGGCACTTGAAACCTGTTTATATTAAAATAAAAATAATATGTCTGATCCGCAGGGAAACGTGTAAAGTGGACACGCCCTTCGTCAAGACTTATGCTACTCTAGGCTACCTTTAATGTCTTCGATTGGAAAATGTGCAGCCTCTATCAAGAAATTATACGTGACGTTTGCTCACAATTCACTTTATTTGTTTGCTTAAATAATTGCGATACAATATAAATGACTCTCTTCGTAAAATTAAACCTTTCCCAAGAAAAAAAAAAAAATTTGAAATAGCGAAAGATGGAGCAAATGTAAAACTTTCATTGCATAAAATAATACCTGTCTAATCTAGAAGACTAATTGCTACAAAAACGAACTCTAAATGACTTTCTTTACTGAAACTATAAACTAGCCTTCCGACGAAACGTTGCATCAATCAAAATATTTACAGTAAGAGAAGGTAACTAGAAACCTCTAAACCGAGAAAGTTAATTCTGATGGAAGGCTCGTCAAAAACTGTTACAGTAAAACATCGCGAACACAGTTCTAACCTGCATCTAATAAACACATTATCTCCCGTCAGTGTTCGAGGTTTTGTTACATACTCAGTTGATCTCACAATCTGTCAAATCGATCCATTCTGTATACCGGGTTAAATCAGGGTATAACGGAACGATAACAATGTCGGCATTAGCAATAGACTTTCTTGAGCCCTTAGTCATTGTCTGGTGTTGACACCTTCACGTTCCGCCATCCCCTACAAAAGTCAGAAACCAAAGCTGATTTGTCTATTACGGTACACTTTCTATATATACTCATGCAAGAGTACTACTATGTTGTATTATATTTGTACTAATATACGTAGATGTTGAAGCAGAAAAAGAAACAAAAACGGATTGTTGATTACGGTGCAGTTTTCAACTCAATCCACATAAAAATTGATGTTACTGATCACCTTCATAAGTACTTAAGCACAATATTCTCTTAATGTCGTATCGTTGTATTAGATGTTAGTGCATTTAATTATGTGTATTGTAGAATAGAGATATATTAATGTTGTTTTCAGTGGTGTTTCTGACTGAAGCAATTCTCAAAAAGTCAACGACCTGCGAACACTGTCAACAATACTTTCGTCGAATGCGACTTTCGCTAGAATTAACTTTTTCGAAAATAGATTTTTAGGAGACGATCTTATATTTTGGTCTCCGACTTTTGAAAATTTTCAAATTTTTCATAACCGTGAGCAAATATTTGTGAGTTATACCATAAATGTTCCCGGGCCATTTTGATAATAAATTTTGGCCTATATACGTATTTGTTGTTTACATAACGTAGGTTGACTGTTATTGCTTGAGAAAAAAATGTTAAAAAAAATCAGATGGCCTCATTCATAGAATATCAGTGATGTATATATATATAACCCTTCGCTTAGACCGGGGTTTCAATTATGGAATACTCAATTAAACTTAACCTAATATACCACATGCAATGTTACTTATTGAAGCTATTTTTATGATAAATGTTTTTGTCTCTTTAGAGTATTGTGGTAAGCGTCAAAATATATATGCTGCCGACAGCGAGAAAGTTAGTGATGTATATAGTTTTATAATAATAGCCATGATAACGTATTATTAAAATGTTATCTACTTAATGTACTAAAAAACATTTTATTTCTAGAAATTGTTGATAGGCAATGTTATAAAATTACCGTAGATTAATGAAGTAAAAGGAAAATGTGATTTAATCTTGCTAGTTTTATTTAATCAACACGCCTCCCATAGTTCCCTTTTTGTTATTTACGAGTCGAGAGTTCGTAACCTTTTGATTAACCGAGTCAAAGTTTACGAGGCATCATCTTTAACTTTATACCAAGTCAGTCAGTGCAACTCGAGCCAGTGCCGAAACGGTAGCGATCACCATGAAGACGTTAGCCTTCGTTGCATTTCTTTCGATCTCTCGTAAGTTTCCCGAACGAAAATTACAAACCACTAATAACACGTCAAACTGACAGACCTCGTCGTCTCCGGAGAACTTCTTGATTTAGAAAATCTCGAGATTCCGAGCGTCGACCTGGACGATTTTGCTGCCATCAAAGAGCGATGCGACAAAACGGGAGGCCTAGGAACGTACGATAAACTTAAAGTACATAATTGGAAGCTAACAAACACTTTTGTATGTCGTCTGATGTGTTGTAGGCGTCTAAAGAATCCCTTCGGACGTGCATCACTCAATTTGCCAACGTAACGGCCGTAAGGGAAGAAGTCGAAGAGGCCAAAAAAACCGGCTCCATGGACGAAGTTTTCGGCAAATATTGCAACAAACGACCAAAATTGGCCTCGTGCGTGCAAGATTTTACCGACAAGCTTCGACCTTGCCTCAATTCCGACGAGAACAAAGCTTTAAATACCACTTTAAACGTTCTTAAACAACTAGGAGACTTTGTTTGTTATAGAGACGGAGACAGGATTGCTCGTTAGTCAATTACACTCGTATGAACAAAAAAACTTAAAAGTCAGTTTTCAGTGTTTATAGCCGAAGGGGGTGTCGAATGTATCCAGAGCCATATAGAAGGAATAAAAAGCTGTGTCAATTCAACGTTCAAGGTAGAACCGACTACTATTAATACAAACTCCTTGCCTACTTTCGTGATGGATAAGAAAAAATGCGAGTAAGTTAATGCCCGATCGGATGTTTAGCAATTCCATACTTGTGAGTAGTGATTTAGGTAAGCTTCAGAACTGTGTAGTCGAAGAATTGGAAAAATGTCAAGAAAGTACTCCGGCGAACATCGTGGATGCACTTTTTAAATTCGTGAAGCGATCCGCATGTCCCAAGAAAAAGCGGAGTGTGGGTATCTACCGTAAGTTCTAGATTTCGTCTTGGCGAACTCGAAAACATATATATATATATCGAGTCGGATGTGATTTTAAAGGCTTGGTTGCCAGTTTCGAAATGTGAATATCATATTATACTCTCGCCATGTTCGGAAGTTAGAACTGATAACGCTGATAATATCCATGTATCCACTTAGAACACTTACGGCGTAAATAAATTCACGTAACAGAACTGACAATTGAAGCTGAAAAATTGCAGCCAACTAAAACTCCGTTTTTATTCAATAATATCAACCACAGTGTGCCTGTGTTTACGGCATTCAATGTTTCTGTTATACTTTGTAGACAACATAGTTAAAAGAAATGCAGCTCTAATTAACAGTTTCTACGACTCAACTCCTGCTCTTAAAACGAATTTTCTTAAGGCCTTCAAAACAAAATGTTCCGAAAACGTTCCCGATGGAGGATATGAAGCTTTCACTGTAAATACTTGGTTAATTTTTTTTCTGGCGTGTAATTAAATTCTCTTTTTATAGTTAAATCTTGAGAGCGCAACACACTGTATCCGAAACAAAACAAGAGACGAACCTATTTTTGTCACGCCAGCGATCGACTTCAAAGCAAACGTGAACAGATGCGTTTGGAACCTAATTGAGAAAACGCAAGCATGTTTGCCGGAGAATGAAAAGTACTGGCCAAAATTCTACTTAGATATCATTCAAAATCTAATCGACTTTCTTTACGACAACAAAGACATTTTGCGTAAGTGAACATATAAGACTCAGAGGGAGATAACTCATTGTTGTTGCAGTACATATTTCCACCAGAGCTGAACTTATGAATTGCTTCCAAAATTTTAAGCAGAATAATACCAAAAAAGAGGTAGCGAAATGTTTTGAGGTACCTGAAATTAATAGTTTGAGAAAAGATGTCGTCTGTTGGTTAGCCTGTGTTCGATACATTGGGGTAATTTATATATGTATGCATTTTTAGGAAACTAACGAATATAAAGGACTGTGTGTCAGACCAGGTACAAAAGAAATGCATTCGTGATGTTGCGATCAACAAGTTAACAAACGACTTCTTTAAAGCAATTATAAAACCATGTAAACACGTTTGAGATTGAACATCACGTAAAATTTAGAGATTAGTTTTATTGTTAAAATGTTATGAGATAGAGGTTAATAAAATGATGATATTTACGCTGTGTTTTTCTTCAACAGTGTTAAAAAATTGTTTTCATTTCTGCATGGCCCTTATTAAAAAAAGTCGGTTGAAACTACATGCCCGGATATTTGAATTTTTGTGAACATAAAATAAAAAATAAATGGGGACTCTTAAAAGAAGGATGCCGATCTGCACAAATCAAATGAGATTTACTCAACAAAATTTTGAAATAATTCGTTCATTTTGTGAAGGAAATGAATATACAAAATTTTCTTGATTGACATTTTACAAAGCCGTGAAACGTCTCGTCGAGGAAAAAGGTAAGTAAAAATCAAGATACACACTTAAATTTTGTTAAACAAAAGCGAAAACTAGACTGTGATAACAATATATACGTTCACATTTCCTGCTGGAAAATGCTTCTTAATAATATAATATAAAATATATAGATATTCAGAAGAACTACCAAATTAGTTTCCTTTGTGAATCTTTACGAAATCACCCGCCATCTTTACGCCAGTAGATACATTAACAAATATGAAGATATTTGTGCGTATATATGTTACAGCTAATATCCGAAATCCGTTATTATCAGGGCCGGCTTAACACGGTAAGCGAAAGATGCACCGCATCGGGGCGCCCGTGACAAGAGGCGGCGGGCGCCGCCTATGCTTTTGTATTAACTTAAAATATGATAACAGGAACAGACCAAGGTGTCCATCGAAAACTTTTCAGAAAAAGCTACATTTTAACATTCCACTATGGGGACTGGTTCACCAAAACAGGTCATTAAGAAGTCAGTTGGCACTTTCTGACTGTAATAATTGAAAAAGAGTGCACCTTTGGCTTGGGTAATTGGACCTTTAGATCAATACCGACAAAAATACCAGATTTATGATTGCATTAACCAGATGTTTTTCCTAACATTTGTCACATTTGTTTTTACCATAAATCTCCTTGCCGGTACACACTTAAAAAATTTATTTTCCAAGTCTCGTCGTCTGGTTGTGGTGGTTGTTCAACAGTTTTGTTATATTTTTCACTGTCCGATTCGTAATCGAATTTGGTTCTGTGTATCATCCCGTGGCTCTTTGTCATCACATTGAGGTAAGTCTAAATTAAAAATAACTTTGAAATCGTATCAATTTTACAATATTAAAAATTGAAAAATTTTTCTAATGTAAATATTTTTATACTTATACAAGAAGAGTTGTTGACCGCAGCTCCGCTTGCGTGGATTTCGCAATTAGGACAGATCATTTTTCGTCCCGTTAACTTCCCCCTCCCCAGTAATCCTGTCTAACTTAAAAACTCTCGGGATTCCTACACGAATCTTCATCCCCTACTTTGTTCCCGTAGGCGCGGAATTTCCAAAAATCCTTTCTCAGTGGGTGCTTATGGCACAAAAGGAGCCTACTGTCCAAATTTCATGTTTGTAGCTTCAGGCTATACGTTGATGAATCAGTCAGGACAAACACCTTTATATATTAACATTGATTCATCATAATTTTGTGTGTTTGTTAATTAAAAATATCTCTCTACAAAAATATCTGATGACAAAATTTTATTAGAGCTTATTTGAAAGCAGAAGTACACAGCAATAAAAGAGCGCAGATACCAGTATTTGAAACAATATTCAGTGCGCATGAGCACTACTTTCACAGAATCAGAGGCGTCGAGAACGAACTTCCTTGACTCTTCGGACCTGTTTTGTAGGTTCTTATACTAACGCGAGCAACGTGCAAACCCCAATAATAACACTAATGGTCCGCCACTGACTCGTCCATACTCTTCGCTCATTTTCGCGCTTCGCGCATTTATCCCTCCCACTCGATGTACTTCTGATTTCAAATAAGCTCTAGTTTTCTTTTTTTACAAACATTTTTTAGAGGGCGTTGAAAGTAAGTTGCATCGGAGCGCCTGGTCCTTTAGAGCCGGCCCTGGTTATTATGCATAATAACTAGACATTTTAGGAATTATGCGTAATAACTGAAATTTTGCATAATAACGGAAGCGTTTAGGTAATATTGATAATAACTAACAGAGGAACAGGAATTATGCATAATATTTTCAAAAAAGCTACCCACCCTGCCTCGCTTTCCCCTACATATCACATGTACACTTGATTAAAAAAAAAAAAAAACGGGACAAATTACAGTAACATAAACGTCATATTCCCATTGCTTTTCATTGATCTATGAGAACCGTATTTGCTCATTTTGTCTCATTTTTTGTAAAATCAGCTGGACATGTTAGGCAATATGCTTAATGACTAACGTTTCAGGTATTATGCATAATTCCTGTTCCTCTGTTAGTTATTATCAATATTACCTAAACGTTTCCGTTATTATGCATAATAACGTATTTCGGATATTAGCTGTAACATATATACATATATACATCACTGATATTTCAACTGAAAGTGTTCTAGAAATCTACTGAACATAACAACGTCGTCTAATTAATATTCCGATTTTGTCAAGACCGATTACACGATACCAAAATTAAAAAGCGAAAAGACAAATAAAGAAAAAAAAATTTGGCTTGACAAAATCAGTATGTAATAATAATTAGACGACGTTATTAGTTATTACGGTCAAAACAGCTCTCAAAAAACCGGTCGCTGCCCTCAGTGTCATTTAAAAAAATTACTATGTCATATTTTTGATATTTCAAGGTTACGGCACACACTATGAGCGAATCACAATCAAGATCATTTGATTACTTATCCATACGATTTAAATTTAACAGCTGTATCTACAGCGATTCCAATTAATAACCTATTGATTTTACTTTATCTAGTTTCATATAATTCTTCACGTACCGTTTTCAAAACTTAATTATGAAAAAAAAAAAAACTTTCACTTGTAGGTACATAAAGATTGCTATAATCATTGTTTAATTGAAAACGAAGATATAAATTTTACTAGCAGATAACAGCACACGCACTCATAACAAATATTGACACTTAACGTCATATTTCTCTAACTCTAAGATCTTTTCGACTGTCCATTTCCAAACGACTTAAAGGTGAAAATGATACGGCGATATAGTCTTAATGTTTTCTACTTTAAAAAACCTTTGCTGTCGCAGATCTAAATTTTTAACTTATTGGAGGGATTTTATTGCCAACTGTTAATTCCCCGAGAGGTATCGATTATATCCCATTGGAAGTATGTATTTCATAAGGGACATGAGAAGGGAATATGCTAGACAGATGTCAGAGGAAGTTCGCTTGTCGTAACCTGATTTTAATGATGAAATCAAGCAAGACATGATCTTAAAAATTGCAGAAATGGGTAATGGAGAAGGAAAAGATGATTAAGTCAACTCGTGAATGATTAAAAAAGATAAATAAAGACCAGAACGAATGACTGTCTTGCGAAAAGAGCGCTGTTTTTAATCATCTTTATCTGAGGAACAAGATACATATTTTAACACTTTGGGAATGTTTTTAGTTTGCGTATTTGCATAATATCGTTTGAGGAATGATTACTGGCAGGACTATAACAAATTTGTGTATTGCGAGGTACGCGAACTCCATCTGCGATAATAAAGTAGTAATGCTTTATCATTCGGTCAATCTTTCGTCTAATGCTCTTTTACATTTTTAGCCGTTTTACAAAATGAAATCCAGAAATACTCTGTTTCCATATACTACGGTAAATTGATTTTCTATCAGATGTTTTGATGTTCAAAACCAGTCCATAAAAGAAAACTTTTTCGATCGACTGTCTTTACCCAAATTAGACCTGATTTTTATCTTTTCGCGTCTTAATAATAAATAAGGGCGATATTTAGAATTTCCTCTCGCAATTTGTTGTTTTTTCGAAAACATTCATTTATCAACTCGCAACGCAAGCGCTAAACGTCCATCGCGGAAAACAAGTCGGGAAAGCATGTGGTCGAGTTAAATTCGCTTTGTCAGTTCGCGAACATGCACGAACGTTTCGAATAAAAAACGCAATTAGTTTATATTCGGAAATTATCGTTATTCCGTGTAATAAGTAATTATGACATTAGTGTTAATTCTTGAATAATTCGGTGCCGTTGGTGTATCTACTTTGTGAAGTGTGCTAAGTGCTGCGACATTCGAATTGGTGTTACGGGAGGTAGATATTTGTTACGCGATTTAGCAAACTTAGAAAATATTTCTGCCAGGTTTGTAACTTTTACAAGATAAGCGAAACTACAAGCAAACAAACTAATCCTGTTGTTGTCGAAGCGGCCTAGCATCCATTGTTTTCTTCGCAGTCGAAGATTAACAGTGTCGAATCGACGAAACGTCCAACTTGCCGATCAATTCAAAAAATCAACAATTCGGTGAAAATCGCGTCATCCGTCACGTGTCGTGACGCACAAAATCTTAAGAGATTAACTAAGAACAAGAGACCTTTTATTTTTCTTCTTACTTATACAGAAATCGCATTAATAATACATGGACGCGTAGCGTCTGATTGACAGGCAGAGATTCGATGCATTTTTGATGGTGTGGGATCGATTTGGTCTTAGATTTTTTTCGTCTCTTGATGTTTCAAGGTATCGCTTGACGTGTTTGTAATTATGACATGATGTTATAGAATATGCATCAGAGGGCCGTTGCTCTTACGACAAATTAATTAGCCTGTGTACTTTGTAAACACAATAAAGTTAAAAGCTTCTGCACTTGAAAGAGATGCGAGGATGCGATCGAATAAATCACGGCTATTTTTAAATTTCGATTCGCGCTATTGAATCGATTTTTGATAGGCTGCCGGATTGTACTGTAGACAGCAAAATTTTCCAGCTTTGGTGGATTTTACAAAATGTTGACGTTTTATTATTACTTGAAAAATTCTTCAAATTAACAATAAAGGAATTTTTATCGTAAGAACGGTCTAAATCAAATAATTATGTATTAGTTTGATGTGTGGCTGATCAATTTAAAAATAATTTTTGAAAATATTAGGTTTGTTTGAAAGTTCGCAAAAAATCACAATATTTTGTGGATGCTGTAAAAAAGTAGGGAATTTTTCACTCAGCTTTTCACTGCAAT